CTCTCTCTTTCTTCATCTTTCTTTTTCTCTTTCTACCTCTCTTTTCATTTTCATATTAATATTTTAATACAAATTTTAAATTCGAAATATTTGTCTTTCCTTTACACGAGCCTTTACACATGTATTTTTAAAATAATAAATACGCATCTCTCTCTCTCTCTCTCTCTCTCTCTCTCTCTCTCTCTCTCTCTATTTCTCTCTTTCTCTTTCTTTCTTTTTCTATCTTGTTTTTATTATTTATTTTATGCCGTTCTCTTTTTATTCTGTTCATTATTTCATTTAAACTTACATTTTTTTCTATTACATTATTTCTCAACAGAAGTAACGAAAAAAAAAGAGAAAGAAAAAAAATCAAAAAAAAAAAAAAGGACAAACATTCGAACGAACGTAATAATAATAATAATAATAATAATAATAATAATAATAATAATAATAATAATTCATATATATAATTTATTATTCTTCCAATGAATTTCATGAATGATAATATAGTGCTAAATATAATACTATACCATTAATCAAATATTTTCATTCATTAAGATAATCGTATTACAAAATTAACAAAAATCCATATAATTATCTTCCAGAAGGAAATATAAATAAATATCTCTACTTCCTTTCACATCTCCATCCCTTCCTCTCTCTCTCTTTCTCTCTCTCTCTCTCTCTCTCTTTCTCTCTTACTCCCTTTTATTCTCTTTCTCTCTTTATGAACAAATAATGACGTAAACAAGAAAGTAGTTCGTCATACATATGTCGAATAGGAAAATGATGATGTTATCGTATATCATAGGATTATTAAAAATCTTTATGACGTGTATTGCTACATTATAGAAAGAATCTAACCTATCTATCTCTATCTCTATCTCTCTCTCTCTCTCTCTCTCTCTCTCTCTCTCTCTCTCTCTCTCTTTCTATATCTCTCTATCTCGCTCGCTCGATATCCATTACGAGGTATAACGTTCGACACACTTTTTAATCTCGAGTGTCATAAAGAGCCTTATTAACGTATGCACTCGGTTATATTTCGTTAAAAGTTCGAGAGTCGATCGTATTATCATTGTAAAAATGTAACACTCGCTATGAATCAGTAAAACGATCATTATTCATATGGTTGAATGTTTTTTCAATAGTACAAACTATCGTAACGATTTTGTTTTTATGTTATTTGTGCCATTATCACGATTCGATATGTTTCTTTTTTATTTTTTATTTATTTATTTTTTTTTTTTTCCAAACAGAACGATCATTATGACAGTCAAACATTTTTCAGTAGTACGATCGTTGGAATGGTCCGTCACTTTTAGGGTAGTACGAATCAAGCATTCGTTCGACAATGCGAGTTTTTAAATAGTACGAGTCAAGCATATACGAAAATACTTTTAAGTAGTACGAGTCGAGAATGAACGAAAATATTTTTAAGTAGTACGAGTCGAGCATGTACGAAAATATTTTTAAGTAATATGAACAAACGGCGAGAAATATATTATTAATAAGTTTTTGTTATTATTATTATTATTATTATTATTATTATTATTATTATTATTATTATTATTATTATTATTATTAATATTATTGTTATTATAGTAAGTAATAAATAATTTAAACGTTTTTATCGATTATTATGAATGTTAAAACAAAGAAGTTTAATTCAATTGATATAATACATATTTTTGTATATAAAAAATGTATTATAACTCATTATCGTTTTATATTTATGTGTCTATTAAATTAATATAATAATAAAAAAATATCTACAATATTATTATATATTTAAGTTTAAAAATTAAGTATAATAATTTATATGTGAAAATAAACAGGGAATAATTATAACGATCGTTATTTATTATTGTAATCGTAAATGAAAATAATTATGTGAAAAATCGTAATAGGTTTTTCAACGTTGAAAAGAACGATGAATATGAGAATATGTATGTTGTTACATGGAATAAATGTGAAATGATATTCGAGTATCAGAAATATTTCTATTCTCTCTCTTTCTCTTTCTATTTTATCGAAAGTACGCCATTGGTCATCATCAGTCGAACTCGATTCACGTTATCCGGAAAAATTAATTGGATTTTTTATTCTTTTTCTTTGAACTATTTGTCATTATATATTACAGTAGATTCACTTACAAACGATCTTTCAAAGAATTTTCGCTCCTGACCTGAGATAACTTGGCTTTAGAATTTCCAAAGAAAATGATGTAATATAATATCAGTATTTTGTTTCATTCTTAACGAGCAAGATATATGAATGAATAAATATATATATATATATATATATATATATATATATACAAAGTGTTTCATAAATATTAACGATATGTACAAGTATATTCGATTTCTATATAATTATTTTTTTAAATTAAATTTCGAGTAACAATTGTTATATCTTTTCTCCCTTTTCTTTTTGATATTTCTTTTTTTTTATTTTTGTCTTTCGTAAAAATTATATTCTAATATTTTATATATATTTGCTTGTTTTTATTTTAGTTGCGTTATTTAATTTTATTGCGTTACGATTTAAACGAGATAGTGGTATTAAATAATATATTAAAAGGAAAAAAAAATTATGTATATATATATATATATATATATATATATATAGAGAGAGAGAGAGAGAGAGAGAGAGAGAGAGAGAGAGAGAGAGGGAGAGAGAGTGTGTGAGAGTGAGAAAGAGAAAGAGAGAGAAATAGATCGATATGGCTATTTTACTAGGTAACATTATTTGTATGAAATATAATCGGTTGAAAAAATTGTTAGCACGTACGTTTAAATAAAATCGATTTTATAATTCATTCGTCCAATGCAGACATATAGTAGGATTATAATATTCGAACCAACGATTTGCATTCACGAATCGTTAATTTTAATTTATTCCTTCGTATTTCTCTCTCTTTCTCTCTTTCTCTCTGAATATAAATATGTACACACATATATATATAGCTTTTATTTTTGAATGTTGTAAAAATTCAAAAATCCCTTAAAAAGAAAAAAAGAAAAAAGAAAAAAAAAAGATGAAATACTTTTCTTTACATGAATAATAAAAAGAAGACATCTGTACAGAAAATTACAATCTCTCTCTCTCTCTCTCTCTCTCTCTCTCTCTCTCTCTCTCTCTCTCTCTCTCTCTTTATATATATATATATATATATACATATATGTCGAATTATTAAAAATCGAAAAAAAAAAAAAAACAGAAACAAAAAAGAAATTATCGATTGTTCCAGAATCAATGTACATGACCTTATATACCTATCTAAGTCTCATGAGAACGATCTCAAAAGGTATATATTATACAGGTATATATTATACGTATATATTATACATAATATATATATATATATATATATATATATATATACGTGTATCTATGTATGTGTAGAATATATTCCGCAGAAGACGAACGTTTCAACTTGCGTGACATGAACACGATCGGTGCTTCCTTGGAGGTCTATCCCAAGAGGTAAGAAATATTTTCGGTAAGAGATGTTCTTGCCAGGCGAAGAAGACATCATTCGATCGATATCTTGAACTATCGATAGAATATGATAGTAGTAATAATAATTGTACATACATACATAAATGTATGATGCGAATTTTAAAAAGATAATTCTATTTTATTACCCCTTCGACAATTTTTATTGTATATTCGACGATATATTATTAATAATTATTATACATATAAATATAATAATAGAGTAATAAAAATGTACATGATATTATTAACAATGGATAGTAATTGTATATCGTATTAATAATTATTATGGATGGATGAAAAGAAGAAAAAGAAAAAAAGAAAAAAGAAGAAAGGAAGGAAAAAGTAATTAGCAAATTTCGTACATTTAAAAATCTAATGAGTATCATAATCGACGTTGTTAGATTTAAAACGTTTCGTTAGAATTCAAAGTGAAGTATATCATTGACGGTTTGACTGTACGTCGATAACATTGATATTCGAGCTGGGAAGCCAGTTCAAAGGCATTCAAAGTTACCTTTGAAGTTTACCCTTAGATTTTTATTTTTGTTTCCCCCATTTTCTTTTCCTTTTCCTTTTCATTTTCTCTTTTCCATCCTTCCTTTCAAAATGATCTGCGAGAATAAGTAATGGTTAACTTGGGGATATGTATTTTCGAACACGTTTCGTTCAAATGGATATATGAAAATATTTTAAATAACTTTTTTTTCTTCTTTTCTTTTGTTTTTGTTTTTTTTTTGTTTTTTTTTTTTTTTTTTTTAATGAGTCGATTTAAAACGATCAAACAGTTTTGAAACAACGTATATATGTCATATTATTTCTCAATTTTCTTTTCAATTTTATATTAAGAAAAAAATTATCCCCATTCTATGCATTAATTAATTAATTCATTCATTCATTTATTTACTTTGTATTTTAAATGCCTGAAATCTATAATTAATCCATTTACCATTCAATACTTCTTAATAAACAAATTCGAAGAGTAATAATTCGCGTATATAATGAAAGCTAAAAAAAGATAAAGAAAAAGAAAGTAAAAAAAGAAAAAGAAAAAGAGAAAAAAAGAAAAAAAAAGACCAATAGTAATCATTAGAAAAATATTTGGAAATGTGTTGAAATAACTCGTCGTGCTAAAAGCGAAGAAGAAAGAAAGAAAAGAGAAAAGAAAAAACACGAAAAAAAAGAAAAAAAAAAAAAGAAAGAAAAGAAAATAAAGAAGGAAAGAAAGAAAAATCATACGAAAAAACTGACCTCTGAGCTGGTCGACGTCGTGCTGTCAGCACTGTCAGTATTGGCAACACTTGAAAGTGGTGACCTGCTCCCTCTTTGAGCCCATTTCCCTCTGATGATGGCCACT